TCGTTAAGCAGAACTTACGTATCCTCTCTGATTACTTTACACATCGCTATAATCTGAGGTATCACCGAAAAAGTAGGATGAGATAAAATAAAATAAGATAGCAATTGCATTAATCAAGTGTATAACTTTCTTTCTCACTGTATGCAAAAGGTTTATGAATTAAAAGAAAAACAATAACAAATAACATGTTTAATGCTTAGTAAATAGAACTTACTTGTTTATAGTGTTTTTGTTGTTGTTGTCGTATTGAAGTTCTTGCTTTTATTGAAATAATATTATTTGTTGTAATTCTTCCATTGAGTACTTTACTGTTTTTGTTGTTGTTATTGACACTGTTGTATTACACTATTTAACTGTTCGATTTTTTGTTGCTATTAATTATAACAAATACTGCTTTATTGTAATTTTTGTTTTGTTAGTCGGTTTGTTTTTGTCATCGTTTAGTTAGTTAAGTTTTTGTTGGAATTTTAACGTCGGCCGCTGCATTATTGCCTGGTTAAAACTGTTTTGTTATAATTTATTTTGTTGTTGTAATCACAATAAGAAATTGCTTAGTTATTATTGCTGTATTAATAATGTGTTGTTATAATTTCTTAATGGACCGTTTTATTGTTTTTGTTACTGTTATATTTTGGTGGCGTTTTCTTTAACTGCTGTATTATTTATGTTGCTTTAATAAAACAGTATTTTGTTTTTGTCTAATTTTCTTATTTCACGAATTGAATTTTATCACTGAACATATTTTATATTTATTTAAATATAAAGTAATAAGAACAAGATTTCATATATCAAAATTAGAGTTTCATATTAAATGTATTTGAATTATTTGTACACTTTTATAATCCAATTAACAATTATAATTTCAATAATACACTCTAGAAACACTTTTAAGGCTATTAAACTAAAAAATATTTTTTACTGCTTATTACCGATTTTTTTTTTTATTTATTTAATGTTATCGTTTTTTTTTTATTTATTTATGATAAATATTTAAAAAACTTCATTTAATTAATTTCTTCATTATTAAAATTTCTTTTATACCACAAATCATATATTAAGCAGAATAACTACATATAAATAATTGTAACGCAACTAATTATTGATAATAATAATTGTAATAACACATTTTATTTCTTAGAATATATGTTTTAACTTTATTATATAAAATATGCATTTATTTTTACCTAAATATTAATTATTTAATGAGTCCCAACTACCGAATCCTCAATTTCGCACTTTACAAAAACAAAGCCAATCAACGAGGACTTCATTTACATCGCACCACACGACGCACAAAACTAAAATTCACTAAAAAATATTCTCCACTGATTAATTGCTTTGGTTTTCTTTTTCATTTTTTACAGTAAAACCAGAGTTGTACCTTAAGTTGTCACTGTTAATTGAGCCTTTAACTAATATTTAGCATAAATCGAACTAAATTCACCACAATTAAAAGAAATGTTATATTCAACATGGAAAGAACGTATGTAAATACCCACCAAACACAAGTTCATGTTAAAATATGTTTATAAAAAGGATAATAATGTTGATGTTATTAATAAAATTATGATATTTCGTAAGACAGATTCTTTACTTAAACATTTTTTGCTAGTTATGTTAACAAAAATATAAAAAATTATAAGAAATACTACTTATTTAAAATAATCATTTAAAGACTATGGAAAGTGATATAGAAACATATAATTCAGATTGACGTGAGGTACTACCCAGTGAGCTAAGCTCAAAGTGCCTGCTCTATGACATCTATTCAGATTTTCTAAAAAGATCATATTTAAAGAATTCACCGTAAAAAGGAATTGACGTTGAATTGGATACAAAGACCTCTTTCACATTCAACGACTATACACTCTAAGATTGAACAGCTTGTCTATTGTTTTCCAATGGTATATACTATACGGATTTTATATAAATCCGTACAAAAAAAAGACATCAGAAAAGTACTCTCACAATCTGAATTTATAAAACCATTGCTTGATCAGTAAGTAGATGACTTTCATATGTTGGAAAAACCAAAAAGACGCGCTAATACTAAGTAAAACAAGCAACGACTAGATGATAAGCTCCACATCATTCACAGTGAAACTAAAACGTATGCTCGGATCGAAAGGTTTCATCATGAGTAATAAGATTTTGTTACAACTCTTACACCTGCAAACTAGAGACACATATTAAAGTTTGCTTGGTAAAGCACCATACTCTAAAAAAATTATTATCCTATTACTACGAATATACACTAATAATAAATTTTCACAAAAATAAAAATATTTTCTTTTTCTTTTCGTATAAAAAGTAGTTTGAACCCAGTTGGAACTAAACTTATAATACTTCCATAGCATCTTCTGACTACCGAAATTCTTTATTGAAATAATAATCAAAGAATATATTGAATTGCCTTTCTTACCATTTGATTCCGGATCTAGTGAAGAAATTACATAAAGATCTTTAAAAATCATATATTAATTAATAGTTATATATTTAGTTAGCAAGTATAACTATACAACTTAAACTTTCTTGAACAGATCTGTCAAAAAGTTTATGTAGTAGATAGAAACAAAATCACCGATTAAAAACGGACTTATAGAAATTTTAAATAAAAGAATTTGCGAAAAGATGGTTAAGAAAGAAATAATTATTTATTTATTGTTTATTCTTTTACTCGTATCTCTTGCTAAAAAAAATTTTATTAACCCTTAAAAATTAATGCCGAAAAACAGATGTGAAGGAGAAAAGTGGGCCGCAAATTATATCTTATTGAAGCCTCAAAACTCAATTTTATAGCACAGTGATATATAAATCATCTCTTTAATATGCAAATAAAAAAAATAATAAATTAGAACAATTGATTAATTGTTTCAAGAAAAAAAATTTATTTTGCTTCCATCTCTGAAACCTCTTTTAATCAGAATTTTGATAAATGAATATCTCAAGAAATCCCATCCTAAATATATTTTTAATTAATTTAACATTTAAAATCACATTAAAAGTATTTAAACCAAATCAAGTGTAGATTCACCAACTAAATGAATAGTTTTTCCTATTCCCTCAACTTAGTGAACGTCTCTTGGTGAGCCGTTGGACAACAAATGTATTTGTTTGATTATTTCATCAATATTTGCATTTGTTATATCCAATAAATTCTCCAAATGTGCAATCTTTTGATGCGCAGCTGTCAAACATACTCTATTCGCATTTAAATCCTTAACAGATTGCTCATACAAAGAGTAATTGATCATTTTCTGCGGAATTTGTATAATTGCATCGCCCATCTGCTTGTTAACACTAACCATAATGATATCATCATTATCGGGCAAAGTACCGGACATTTCTAATTGAACGGCCTTTTTAGCATTTGCCAGCTTCTCTTCTTCGAACAACATAACATCCATAAGTACTATTTCAATATTACCTGGCTCAGATTTTGCCAACTTTTCAGTAAGTGATTTGCTTAGTTTCATATTTAACTTAGCGAATACTTTTGTGTTCATCGTTTCCCAATTTAATAATTTTGACTTTAGGCTATTGCATGGGGGATAGTTATGAACATCGATTTGCTTGGGTATAATCCCTTTAAGTAGCTTAGCCATCAGTACCGCATCGGAGAAATCCTTATTCAACTTTTCGGTAGGAATCTTATGATCGCGCAACCATTTGAGCAAGACATTGTATCGATCCACATTTAGAGGCTTCGACTTTTGGTCCCACTCACCTTCTCCATTATTCTTGCTCATTTTACAATAAATTTTTTTTTACTTGATAATTACGAGTTATTTTTTGAAACGAAAATATATAATGTAAAATGTAATTTGTTTCATATTCTTGACTTATTTGAAAAAAAATTTTAAATTTGTTGCAATGTAAACTACTTTATTTTTTAGAAGTTGCTTATTTACTCATATTACTAACTGTGGTATTTTGATAGTTTGTATATTACTAGGATCACTTAACAAGACATTAGGAAGTGCATTAAAGGACACTAGTGTGCTGGTGCCCTCTAACCACTATCGAGGCCAATATAAAGGACTTGAACCAAATAATGGTGAAGAATGAAAAAAAAAATAAAGCTAATAATATATAATCGTCGTGGAAACTCAGTAAAAGAGACCGCATGAATACAGCAAAATTTACTACAGTTCTCTCTAGTCACTCATGTATAGGAACTCACGCAAAAAAACTGCACATTCCTTTTAATAGTGATTATAAAAATTTTAAAAACTTTCAAAAATATAAGAAACAAGCTTTTTTTCTGGGAATACTCTTTCTGGAAATAAGCTCTTTGCTGACATGTCCCTGCAACCAACCAACTAACCGAATAATAAAGATTACTTCAAATCAGCGCCGCTAGTTCTAATAGTCTACTGAGATTGCAAGTAAAGAGACTGATTGGAATGTTATTACTTAATTTTGGTCTGATGACCCTTCATCTTAGCCATCCTGGGCCAATGCCCCACCGCTCCTACACTAACGTCGCTACTAACTCTTAACAAATCAGTTACCGCTCAATAGTCTGTTCAATGACTAAACTATTGTTCCCATTGTTTAAGGAAATTTAGGAGAAAGAATGCTTTCTATTAGACTGAAAGGAATCTATAATTGTTAAAATTCTGAAAAAGGTGACAGGAGAAATGTTGTGCTTGGAGGGTATCTCCGTACTACCCGTTGTTTTTAAAATATTTAAACAGATAATTCTCAAAAGAATTGCTGACACATTTTATTCATCGACCCGCAAAACTCAAACGGGATTCAACGAGTGACTCATGAATCAACCAGATTAATACCGTTGAAATACTTATTAAGCAGGCTTCTAAATTTAATGCGTCCTTATATCTCTGATGATATCACTCATTGAGAAAACCAGCGGATGCGATTGCTCATGCTGTCAAGCAATGAAATCCCCAATGATTGAAAAGACCAGATTGATCGAAAACTACTTGGCGTAGGACAAGAACGAATGAAACACAGACGTTTCTTGCTAGAAACAGGAACGACTGAAAAGAATTTGCAAAAACTATTTGTGAATAGAGTAAGTTCAAGATTTATTTTATAAATTGAAAACTCGGCATAATTAATCATATACCTATAGCCTTTAGCGGCAAAATGTTTTGACTTGGTTTTGACACCCATTCATTTCTGTTCTTATGAGTACTGATTTAACCGAAATGAAATGATGAAATTATTATTGCTGTTTTGTTTAATAACTAAAGCCACTTATGTTACTTTCCCATAAATTCCGTGAAATTTTTTGTATTATTTATGAAATCGGATAAAGCTAAAACTAAAAATATAAGAGCTGCAAAATTTAACTATTACCTTATTAACTAAATTTAACTTACTTAACTATATATTGATAATTACCAAATTTTGCAGCTTATCTATCTTTAGCTTCAGCTCTATCAGATATAATTCAAAAGATTTCCATTGATTTATGACTTAAATAGCTACTTATCATTGAAGAAATAAAACACAAATAATTGCTTCACTTTTTGGTGTTATTTTCAAAAGTTTACAAATTCCTTTTAAGCAGTGGGAGAAAGTAATTCATAATTGATGGAATTCAATAGCACAGGGAAGCTCACCTTACTTGAAGAAATCACGACTTTCAACTTTTTGCCGCAATATTTCCAATTACCAACTCAATTGACACCGCTAATTTCTCAATTCTTTAACATAATAAGGCGTCAATAGCTGTCATTATTTATCGATACCACCTCCTGCTGTGCTTCCTGTTTATTTAAAAGTGAAAAAAACCAAAGAAATGCGATATCGAAAATGGAAAAGGTACAAAATATTCAACACGAAAATTTTCCCAATGACATCGCACACCCGAACTTCGACTCCAACTGGCAACACCGCAAATTGCGAATTTAATCAAATATTACGGCTGAAAAACTTACTAAATGAAGGCAATCAACAGCAAATGAACTAACAGGCCACATAGCCAACGAATAGACAGACAGGCAGACCGACGAAACGGTCTGTTGGATAGATGGATGTATAGTTGCATAGACGGACTGAATGGACTGAAGGAAAGACAACAAATTTTTGAACAATATTGACTATGAATGGAGTAGTGTGAAAAGTTAAACAAAATTCAAATTTAAAAGACTTGCAACAGTCATAGTGGCGTAATAATTTAGTGCCACATCAAAATTGACACTTTCTGGCATTTGACTCGCGTGCCACAATCAAAGCAACACAATAGATTCATAAGAGCAACAACTAAAGCAGCAGCAGCAATGTTGTAGTCAATGAAGACAACAGCAGTGAGCAATCAAGCCAGGCCGCATGCAAAGAAATATGAAAACCACATTGAGTGCTCTGTTAATAAAAGAAACGACAGCGGCTGCCACAACACGTTTTCCAACGATTCATTAATAATTTAAAATCGAAATTGCCAATGATAAGCAAAACTGTACCAGCAATAGCAACAGTAACAGCAACAGCAACAGCATTAGCAATAACAATAACAATAACGACGGCAGCGGCAGCGGCAACAACTGAAATCGGCAACAGTGAGTTTTGTGCCCGAAGTTGGTCATGTGTTGGCATGCAAAATAAATGACTAAACTTTGTCTGGAATCAAAGTATTTTGCTTTGACCAAATTGACAGGCAACCTGGTTAAATGAGTGGCTTCTTTGACACCGCAACATGTTGTTCTTGCGTTTGAATACGAGTACTGCAGTAGTGAAGAAGTGTAGAAGTGGAAGACATGAAATCATTTATAGTACTTTTATACATTTTATTACTATATATTGTGACGTACTCTTACAATTTGAATGAAAATACCAAACGGAAAGGAAGTTTGTAAATCAATTTCAGTTTAAAATTATTGGTTAACTAATGACAATTACTGCAGTGTTCAGGCCACGTCAAAGCGGACTACAATCAATTCCTACACTAAACGGTATGGCAACAGCTTATTATCTGCAATGTGGTAAATTGGAATTGTTATGGCAAAATTGTGGCAAGGAACAACTTCATTAGTTATTAGCACCGAACCATCGTACCACCGAAACCAGCTCCAAGTGAACCACAATGACTACCTTCACAGCATTTAAACTAAACGTCAGTGACTTTGCGCTTTTGGTTTGAGCGAAAGAATAAAAAACGTGAAAATAATAAATAAATACAAAATCAAAAACAAAAACAGAAACAAAACAACAATAAAGGAAAAAATTGTCAATTACGAAAATTGAATTTTCACAATTGAAACAGCAACGACAGTAGCAAAAATAACATCAACAACATTAATAGCCTCAGCCATGCCATGCCAACAACAGTAAGAGCAGCAAAACGTTATATTAAGTTCTTTGCGAATATTTTAAATGCAGCATCAATAGCATTGCTACAATGTCAGACCAAAGTTAAGATCAGCACAGCCAAAGACAGGCAATAGCAACAGCAACAGCAACAGCAGCAGCAGTAGTAGCAGCAGCGACTTCTTAAGAAACCGACCAAACCGAATCCAACCAAATTGTCCACAGCAAATGTCGTCCTTTAATATGCGAGCAACTCTTTTGACAGCGCAAAAGGCACTAAATCGAAATGTGTAACCGCTGCAGGGCTTATTTTCCACATACCCGTACACGTACACGTACTCGTAAGATATAATGAGAAATTATTAAAACGAAATTTAATATGTTGTTTATACAAAAGCAACAATAACAACAACAACAACGACAATACCAACAGCAATAACAACAACAACAACAAAGCCAAAAATAATAACGACAACATCAAGTAAAACTACAACTGCCACAATTGTTGCAACTAACAAACTCAAATGTTGCACTTCTGAATGAAGATGAGTGCACTCTGTTTGCGTTCTTAATTAAATGTCCTGCAGCTATTTTCATATGCAATATGAAGTCCATTTAAATTATTGTGTTTAGTTTACAAAATCGGTACGGCATCGGTAAAGGCTGTGGCTTTAGCATTAGCATTAGCTTTAGCTTTAAAGGAATTTCCGCTCAAAGTAGTGACTGCACAAAGCGATTGGTTGGATGGTGCAATTTAAATAGAGTTGTTCAATTAAACAATAATATTTTTTCCATTAGTTTGAGTATGTGATTTCCTTGAGGGCATCACAAATGTCCACTTGAGCCGCTACATGTCGTTAGAAAGAGATTGCAATATACAAGGATATTAATGTAATAAATAAGTGAATTATATTGATATTAATGTATACGACATATAAATAAATATATAAATTAATGAAGATATATAATTTAATTAACCATATCATAAAGTAATAGATGAAAATGAATAAAACATTCTCAAGATAAATAAAACATTCACAAACATAACTGAATAGAAAGCGACATCTATTGTTATATATTAAAGTTATTTCAAGATGATTTACAAGCGCCACTTATTCTCTCTAATAATGAATAGTACTTAGATTAAGGTTTTAGGCTCAAGACCAATCCGCGAAAAACTCTACGTAAACCGTCTATGTGTCGGTTTCGTTACGCTAAAAAGAAAGTGGGTTTATTGCAATATACAAAGGTGATTTATTTTTGTAATAAATAAGTAAGTAATATTTATATTAATGTATACGATATATAAATAAATATATAAATTAATAAAGATATATAATTTAATTAACCATATCTTAAAATAGTAGCTTGAAAGGATCTATATATTGTAATATATCTTTAAATGATTCTCAAACATGAGAGAATAGACGACGTATCTATTATTATATATTTAAAGTTAGTTCAAGATAAC